CACCTGTCGCTCCAGACTCACCTGTCGCTCCAAAGTCACCTGTCGCTCCAAAGTCACCTGTCGCTCCAGACTCACCTGTCGCTCCAAACTCACCTGTCGCTCCAGACTCACCTGTCGCTCCAGACTCACCTGTCGCTCCAGACTCACCTGTCGCTCCAAAGTCACCTGTCGCTCCAGACTCACCTGTCGCTCCAAAGTCACCTGTCGCTCCAGACTCACCTGTCGCTCCAGACTCACCTGTCGCTCCAGACTCACCTGTCGCTCCAGACTCACCTGTCGTTTGCTCTTAACATTAACCTGCACCTAAAAAACAAAAACAAAAAACTGTGTCAAAATGAGACGATTAAACTCAAACTCTCCTGCTGCTCAGAGCCTCAGCCACTGCACAAACATCACAGCTCCAGGTCTGTGGGCTCAGGTCTGGGGGCTCAGGTCTGTGGGCTCAGGTCTGTGGGCTCAGGTCTGGGGGCTCAGGTCTGTGGGCTCAGGTCTGTGGGCTCAGGTCTGGGGGCTCAGGTCTGTGGGCTCAGGTCTGGTGGCTCAGGTCTGTGGGCTCAGGTCTGTGGCCGTTTAATTCCGGCCCAGAGAAAAAAGGCCCATGTTTGTTGTTATAAACCTGTTGGACTTTTCACTGAAACAACAACTGATGATGATGATGACCCAACCTCCACTGTGCCCTGTGCACACACGACCTGTGCACACACGACCTGTGCACACACGACCTGTGCACACACGACCTGTGCACACACGGTCTATGTGCACACACGACCTGTGCACACACGGCCTGTGCACACACGACGTGTGCACACACGACCTGTGCACACACGGTCTGTGCACACACGGCCTGTGCACACACGGCCTGTGCACACACGGCCTGTGCACACACGACCTGTGCACACACGGTTTGTGCACACACGGCCTGTGCACACACGGTGTGCACACACGGTCTGTGCACACAGGTTCCCGCGCTCATGGAGATCCTGGAACAGTCCTGGAGTTTTCGTGTGTTTCCTTTGGCTCCAGTGTTTGTTCAGTTTTCATGAGTTTGTTCTGATTCTTTGTGAACGTCTGAGTTTTTAGTTTAAAACAGAAAAATAAAAACACCGACAGGATTTAAAATGTTCAAAAACTAGAATCTCAAACCAGCAGGTGAGAGGAAAGAGTTCATGTTTCAGATTTAGACCTAAAACTATGATCAGTTCTACACATGAAGGTGCTGGAAAGTCCTGGAAAATTCACTTTAGCTCATGAAAAAGTCATGGAAAAGTTTGGAAATGTTGTGAGTGAAAAAGCGTGAGAACTGTGTGTCTGTTTGTTCTTCTCGTCCTGTTTGTGTTTTGTTCTCGAGTGGGGACGTGTGTTGCCAGCGAGCTTCAGTTTCTCGCGGTGGAGCTGCAGGTTCTTCTGGTGGAGCTGCAGGTTCTCGTGGTGGAGCTGCAGGTTCTCGTGGTGGAGCTGCAGGTTCTTCTGGTGGAGCTGCAGGTTCTTCTGGTGGCTGGTGGAGCTGCAGGTTCTTCTGTTCAGGTTCTTCTGGTGGAGCTGCAGGTTCTTCTGGTGGAGCTGCAGGTTCTTCTGGTGGAGCTGCAGGTTCTCGCGGTGGAGCTGCAGTTTTGTGGCGGTTCAGGCTGCGCTGGTGAAACATGTGTGAGACAAAAGGACGTTTAATGAGACGTTTGGACAAAAGCTCCTGACGGACGCGTCTCTCGTGTTTGTGTTTAGAGGAATTCTCCGAAAACAAAATGAGGAATGAGGAAAATGAGAAGCATGAGAAGAATGTGAGACACAGAGGTCCAGAGATCAGAGATAAACGAGCTGCGCTTCCATAGATGCAGTTTACAAATGTAAGTTTAACTGAACTTACAGAATCAAACCTGTAACAGGAAGTGAGTCCGGGCGGCGCCGCGGCTCCACGTCACTTCACTTTATATAAAACCTGATCCTGGGTTTGGATTTCGTAGCTGCTCTGGTTTTCTTCACAAATAAAAGAACTTCACGCTCGATCGTTTGTGTCAATATTTATTCTCGACACCGTGAAAACTCAAATAAACACAAAGAAAATGTTTGAACTTTACTCACAAAACTTTAAAATAAATACAGAAAACAAAAGGAAACGTTGTCCGTGTTTGTCTGTGCGTCACCAGAGACTCAAGTCACTTTTATTTAAGTCTCACGTCTTTTCTTCACACTTTTTCTGCTTTTCTCTATCGTCTTTTCTCTCTGTTTTTACTTTCAGGGCAAATTTTTTTTAAAAGTCACAGGACTCATAAAGGTCAATATTTTTACAAATAAAATATGAAAATGAATCACAGAGGTGTTTAAAACATCTTCATATTTAAACAGATTTAATAATCATAATAATTCATCATAATTTTAGGATTATTTCCATGAAAACAGAAACACCGACATTTTGTCCTGAAATGAAAATCTGAACATAAATCTCAGACCCGTCAGCCTTAGCAACAGGTTTGATTGACAGCGTTGCTATGGAAAAGAGCGTTTCCTTTAACATCCTGGCTCCTGATTGGTCGTCCTGTCACGATAATTATTACATCGATTTATCGTTCAGGTTTTGTTCGATGGAACTAGATGAACTAAAACTGTATTTTCTCAGTGTTTCTAAAACTTCTCATGTCGCCAAAGTTGATCCAATCAGGATGAAACTCACATCATTTTGTCTAAAAATCAGTAAAAACAAACGTCTGTTTGAATTTTAATGGAAACTGAACATCCACAGCCAAAGTTTAACAGTAAAAGTTCCTTCAGATTCACAGATTTGTGCTCAGGCCTCAGATTCAAACATCCAAACAAACTTTACTCGTTCACTGTTCAGACGTGAAGAGTTTCTGTTTACAACACGAACAAGGAAGCAGTTGTTCAGAAGTGTTTGTTTTTCTGTTTTTCATACAGAGTCACAGAGGAAGTGCGGGGGGGGTAAATGTTGGTCAATTTCAGAAAAAACATATTTCTTTTACTAAAATTTATTGGATAAAAAAATTTAAACTTGCACCAAAATTGATTTGACCTTAGATTTTTAGAGTAGGGGTCAAAAAAAGAGTTTATAAAGGAAAATCAATGAAAACACAAACACAAAGAGTCAAAAAAAAAAACTTCTCACGTCGTCACAGTTGATCTGATCAGGATGAGAAATGTGATAAAAACACACAACTGTTTGAATTTTCATGGTGATTAAACAAAGACAGTAAAAGTTTGAATGATAAAAGTTCCTTCAGATTCACACGTGTTTCTTCTGGAGGCTCCGACCTGAAGCTCGAGCAGCTCCAGGTTCATGGTGACGACACAGACTCTGACACCAAAAGCACTCGTCCACGAGGAACGAAGAATAATGAATGAAGCAGAACAAAAGACTCAACGAGCGACGTGTTGACAAAGACTGGAGCTTAGAGCTCGTAGAGTCACTTCATTAAAGGATTTAGAGTTTTTATCCACTCAAAGCCTCAAAGCCTCAATCATTCTTCATCAACTCTGAGCTCATTTAAAGGTTCAATATCACACAGACCTGACTCGTACTACACAGACCCGACTCGTACTACACTGACCCGACTCGTACTACACTGACCTGGAGTCGTGTTTGTTTCATTCCCACATCTTAAATCTCTGGCCCTGTTTTTGTTTTGTTTTTTCTCAAAAATGTGAAAAACAAAATTTGTTCATTGTAAAAACATTTGCAGATTCCACAGACACACTTCTCACTCTTTTTCACTGACGACATCTCCAAACCTTTCCATGACTTTTCCATGACTTTCCAGCACCTCCATGTGTAGAACTGATCATAGTTTTAGGTCTAAATCTAAACATGAACTCTTTCCTCTCACCTTCTGGTTTGAGATTCTAGTTTTTGAACATTTTAAATCCTGTCAGTGTTTTTATTTTTATTTCTTGTCGTTTCTTTTAAACAAAAAAACTCAGACGTTCACAAAAAAATCACAACAGACTCATGAAAACTGAACACAACACTGGAGCAAAAGGAAACACACACTAAAACTCCAGGACTTTTCCAGGCCTGGATAATGACAGTTTTAATAAAATGACTTGAGTTTGGTGACTGGGAGGGAGCAGTGATGTGATATGATCGTCGCTGCTGTGGACGAGGAAAAGAAAGAGGACGAAGCGACAGGAAACATGTCCACAAAGAAAAGACAAAGGAGTCGCCCGGACGTCGTTACAAAACTTAAATTATCTTCAGACTCGATAAAAGAATTTGAGGACCAGATCTTCCCAGTTTGTCTGAGTGAGATTTTTGTGAGGAGGGAATGAATCTCCTGCCCCAAACTGCCGCCTGGTCTCAAATAAAAGCCTGGTCTCAAATAAAAGCCTGGTCTGTTAAGTGACTGAAACAAACGCCACGGAGATGATTTGGTGTTTTTTGTACATTTATCTGTGCCGAGACATGTTCTTCTCAAATATTTCATACAAGCTGTTTAATGTAAAAAAAAAAGTCCCCGGATCTAAAGCACCACTGTTACCACGGCGACCACAGTTACGCAGACGAGCACAGATCTGATCAGTTTATCAGAGTTTATCAAATACGTGTGAGTGGAGTCCGAGGCTTTAGAAGGACACGTCCGCTTCAGTTTATCTCAAATATGTGAAACACGCTGCCACCTTCCAGGAAGTGACCGTATTTAGAAGAAAAGAGGCGGAGCCAACGCATTCCACAGCAGAAAGGGGCGGAGCCATCGCACCATACCACCACCACGACATTCCACAAGAGCACGAGAGTGACGCAAACGACAACTATGACACACACACACACACACACCTGTCACACACACACACACACCTGTCACACACACACACACACCTGTCCATGTGTGACAGGTGTGTGTGTGTGTGTGTGTGTGTGTGTGTGACAGTGTGTGTGTGTGACAGTGTGTGTGTGTGTGTGTGTGTGTGTGACAGGTGTGTGTGTGTGTTGTTTGTACATACACATATTCAGACTGTGGTTGTTGATAAAACAGTTTATTTAAACTCAGGTTTTACAAACACAGTTTGGTGAAATAAAGTCACTGACAGACAGGGGGCACTGTGAGGGGGGGCGCTGTGAGGACTCGCTGTGGGGACTCGCTGTGGGGACTCGCTGTGGGGACTCACTGTGGGGACTCGCTGTGGGGACTCGCTGTGGGGACTCGCTGTGGGGACTGTGGGGACTCGCTGTGGGGAGGGGCGCTGTGGGGACTCGCTGTGGGGACTCGCTGTGGGGACTCGCTGTGGGGACTCGTCACATCACGTTGTCTTTGACCGGAGACAGAGGCTCTTTGTGTGAAATCTTTGGAGAATCTCTGAAAAAAACAAAAACACAAACGTTAGTTTTAGTTGAAATAGAATAATGATTAAACCAGACGTGAGCAGGAGGAAATGTTCTACTGAGTTTAATTCAACTCAAACTATAAACTGAAAAATGAAGCACAAATGATTCAGTTTAATGAGATTCGATTTAATAACAGATTCATTTATTAAACTCTTTAAATGTCACAAAAACAAACCTGAAACTTTTTACTGTTATTAAATATTTGGCTCTTTTGTTCCAGAATCGTTTCTGGAGTCGTGTTTGTTTCATTCACACGTTTAACTCACAAACTCTGAGAGAAGAGCTCAGCCTAAATCTACAGACTTAAAACACTCTGTTCCACCTTGTGATGTCATCATGTGGTGATACAGGAAGTGCTCTACTGTGTTTTTAAACTCCACACACCTTCACTAGAATCACCTGGATCATTTCAATTGTGGAGTCACAGATCTCGAGTGAACTAAAGGGAAAAGGAGCTGAGAATGTCCATGTCCATGTCCATGTCCATGTCCATGTCCATGTCCATGTCCATGTCCATGTCCATGTCCATGTCCATGTCCATGTCCATGTCCATGTGGAGATTTGTAGATGTAACAGTCGAATAATAAAGTTTTACTCAAACAAACACAACTCCAGCTCTGAGTGTGACCAGGAACAGAAGAACATGAGTGAGTTCAGTGGAACACAGGAGCTTTAAATAAACTCTCGTCTCTGTGTCGTTAGAATCTTTGTGTAGTTTGTGTTTTTTTTTGTGGATTTACTTTGTGAATCCGAAGTTCTTCCACAGTCCGCTGATGGTGGCCTGGACCCCGGGGCTGTTCTCATTGTTCACACCGGGTTTGGATGATCCGGGTTTAGATGATCCAGGTTTGTTTAAACTGGACTTCCTCTTGAGGCCGCTGACCCGAGCCGGACCCAGAGCCGTGGGTTTGAGTGAGTGACTGGAGTTTGGACGAGATAAACCCGGCGCCTGAAGGAAACACAAACACAAACACACAAACAGTTACACAACAAACACACAAACAGTTACACAACAAACACACAAACAGTGATGTGACTGACTCCAGCTGAGGAGACGAGGCTCAACTCTAGAATCAAACAAAACTATCAAACATGTTTAAAGGTCAGTGCAGAGTCAGAGTTTGTACATTTGTCATTTTCCTGCTTCAATAAAAAGTACAAATACAACGACTGGAGCTGGTTTCATTCAGAAGTCGCTGATACAACACACACCTTCATACAGTGAACTTTCGATTCGATACGATATATTTCAAAATGATTCGATACATTTCAATAAAAACTAAAGTCTAAATCACGTTTCTGTGTTAAATAATTTCTTCTTGTGCAAAGTTCAAATGAAACAAACATTTAAATCCTCAAAACTGTGAAAATGTCAAATAAACGAGTTTCCTTCCTCCAAACAAACAACAAAACTGTAGCAGTAACAAAATAATTTATTAAAAAAAAAAAAAAAAAAAACTCTTGGCGATATATCGATACAGCAGACCACAATATCGATACTGAATCATCACATTAATCTATGTGATATTTTGATATTTTTGCACAGTCCTAACGACTTTAGATAAACTCGACACACACAACAACACAACATCACAACAACACAACAACAACACAACATCACAACATCACAACAACAACACAACAACATCACAACAACAACACAACATCACAACAACACAGCATCACAACAACATCACAACAACAACACAACATCACAACAACAACACAACACACAACAACAACAACAACAACAACATCACAACAACACAACAACATCACAACGTCACAACATCACAACAACAACATCACAACAACAACACAACATCACAACAACACAGCATCACAACAACATCACAACAACATCACAACAACAACACAACAACATCACAACAACAACACAACATCACAACAACACAGCATCACAACAACACACAACACAACAACACAACAACATCACAACAACACAACAACATCACAACAACATCACAACATCACAACAACACAACAACAACAACACAACATCACAACAACACAACAACATCACAACATCACAACAACACAACATCACATCACAACAACATCACAACAACACAACATCACAACACAACAACATCTCAACAACACAAAATCACAACAACATCACAACAACACAACATCACAACAACACAACA